ATGCCCTGTGCTGATCACTTCTCTTTGTGGTTCCTTCCTTCCATAATGTCATGCCAGAATCCTCATTGTCACTCAATCAACACCAGCCAACCCACCAGCCTTCCTTCCCGTGATCTCATGCCAGAACCTTAGACACAGTCTCATCCTCATTTTATATCTGAGCAGAGCAATGCTGGTGTTTGATGGTCCCCTGTGCTGATCACTGTCTCTTGGTGGTTCCTTCCTTCCCATAATGTCATGCCAGAATCCTCATTGTCATCAATCAACACCAGCAACCCACCAGCCTTCCTTCCCGTGATCTCATGCCAAGAACCTTAGACCACAGTCTCATCCTCATTTTTATATCTGAGCAGAGCAATGCTGGTTGTTTGATGGTCCCTGTGCTGATCACTGTCTCTTGGTGGTTCCTTCCTTCCCATAATGTCATGCAGAATCCTCATTGTCATCAATCAACACCAGCAACCCACCAGCCTTCCTTCCGTGATCTCATGCCAGAACCTTAGACCACAGTCTCATCCTCATTTTTTATTCTGAGCAGAGCAATGCTGTTGTTTGTATGTGTCTCCTGTTCTGTCTTGTGGTTCCTTCCTTCCATAATGTCATGCAGAATCCTCATTGTCATCAATCAACACCAGAACCCCACCAGCCTTCCTTCCCGTGATCTCTGCCAGAACCTTAGACCACAGTCTCATCCTCATTTTTATATCTGAGCAGAGCAATGCTGGTTGTTGATGGTCCCCTGTGCTGATCACTGTCTCTTGGTGGTTCCTTCCTTCCCATAATGTCATGCCAGAATCCTCATTTCATCAATCAACACCAGCCAACCCACCAGCCTTCCTTCCGTGATCTCATGCCAGAACCTTAGACCACAGTCTCTCCTCTTTTATATCTGAGCAGAGCATGCTGGTTGTTTGATGGTCCCCGTGCTGTCACTGTCTCTTGGTGGTTCTTCCTTCCCATAATGTCTGCCAGAATCCTCATTTCCTCAATCAACACCAGCCAACCCACCAGCCTCCTTCCCGTGATCTCATGCCAGAACCTTACCACAGTCTCATCCTCATTTTTATATCTGAGCAGAGCAATGCTGGTTGTTTGATGTCCCCTGTGCTGATCACTGTCTTTGGTGGTTCCTTCCTTCCCATAATGTACTGCCAGAATCCTCATTGTCATCAATCAACCCAGCCAACCCACCAGCCTCCTTCCCGTGATCTCATGCCAGAACCTAGACCACAGTCTCATCCTCATTTTATATCTGAGCAGAGCAATGCTGTTGTTTGATGGTCCCCTGTGCTGTCACTTCTCTTGGTGGTTCCTTCCTTCCATAATGTCATGCCAGAATCCTCATTGTCATCAATCAACACAGCCAACCCACCAGCCTTCCTTCCCGTGATCTCATGCCAGAACCTTAGACCACAGTCTCATCCTCATTTTTATATCTGAGCAGAGCAATGCTGGTTGTTTGATGGTCCCCTGTGCTGATCACCGTCTCTTGGTGGTTCCTTCCTTCCCATATGTCATGCCAGAATCCTCATTGTCATCAATCAACACCACAACCCACCACCTTCCTTCCCGTGATCTCATGCCAGAACCTTAACCACAGTCTCATCCTCATTTTTATATCTGAGCAGAGCAATGCTGGTTGTTGATGGTCCCCTGTGCTGTCACTGTCTCTTTGTGGTTCCTTCCTCCCATAATGTCATGCCAGAATCCTCATTGTCATCAATCACACCAGCCAACCCACAGCCTTCCTTCCTGATCTCATGCCAGAACCTTACCACAGTCTCATCCTCATTTTTATATCTAGCAGAGCAATGCTGGTTGTTGATGGTCCCTGTGCTTCACTGTCTCTTGGTGGTTCCTTCCTTCCCATAATGTCATGCCAGAATCCTCATTGTCATCATCAACACCAGCCAACCCCCAGCCTTCCTTCCCGTGATCTCATGCCAGAACCTTAGACCACAGTCTCATCCTCATTTTATATCTGAGCAGAGCAATGCTGGTTGTTTGATGGTCCCCTGTGCTTCACTGTCTCTTGGTGGTTCCTTCCTTCCATAATGTCATGCAGAATCCTCATTTCATCAATCAACACCAGCAACCACCAGCCTTCCTTCCCTGATTCATGCCAGAACCTTAGACCACAGTCTCATCCTCATTTTTATATCTGAGCAGAGCATGCTGGTGTTGATGGTCCCTGTGCTGTCACTGTCTCTTGGTGGTTCCTTCCTTCCCATAATGTCATGCCAGAATCCTCATTGTCATCAATCAACACCAGCCAACCCACCAGCCTTCCTTCCGTGATCTCATGCCAGAACCTTAGACCACAGTCTCATCCTCATTTTTATATCTTGAGCAGAGCAATGCTGGTTGTTTGTGGTCCCTGTGCTGTCACTGTCTCTTGGTGGTTCCTTCCTTCCCATAATGTCATGCCAGAATCCTCATTGTCATCAATCAACACCAGCCAACCCACCAGCCTTCCTCCCGTGATCTCATGCCAGAACCTTAGACCACAGTCTCATCCTCATTTTTATATCTGAGCAGAGCAATGCTGGTGTTTGATGGTCCCCTGTGCTGTCACTGTCTCTTGGTGGTTCCTTCCTTCCCATAATGTCATGCCAGAATCCTCATTGTATCAATCAACACCAGCCAACCCACCAGCCTTCCTTCCCGTGATCTCATGCCAGAACCTTAGACCACAGTCTCATCCTCATTTTTATATCTGAGCAGAGCAATGCTGGTTGTTTGATGGTCCCTGTGCTGTCACTGTCTCTTGGTGGTTCCTTCCTTCCCATAATGTCATGCCAGAATCCTCATTGTCATCAATCAACACCAGCCATTGGCAGTCTCCCTGGCTCCTTTGGCATTCTCCCTTGCTGCTGTTCTCCTGACCGCTGGAATTGAATCTTGGCTAGCCTCCACTAGGAGCTAGTGATTGGGATGTTCTCATCCTTGGTCTCCCTGGTTTGGCTGCTCCTTTTGGCAATCTCCCTGGCTCCTTTGGCATTCTCCCTGGCTGCTGTGCTCCTGACCCCTGGAATTGAATCTTTTCTAGCCTCCACTCCTTTTGGCAATCTCCTGGCTCCTTTGGCATTCTCCCTTGGCTGCCTGTGCTCCTGACCCCTGGATTTGAATCTTGGCTAGCCTCCACTAGGAGCTAGTGATTGGGATGTTCTCATCCTTGGTCTCCCTGGTTTGGCTGCTCCTTTTGGCAATCTCCCTGGCTCCTTTGGCATTCTCCCTGGCTGATGTGCTCCTGAACCCCTGGATTTGAATCTTGGCCAGCCTCCACTCCTTTTGGCGCCAAAAGGGATAATCAGCTGTTTATCCCTTTTTGCACTTCATGTCATGCCAGGCCAGGCCCCGAGGCCACAGCCAATCCTCCTTTATTTCTATAACTGTGCATAACAATGTACGGTCCATGATGGTAAACCTGCGTCCTGTGCTGCTGCTCACTGGCTCTTGGTGTTTTTGTGGTTCCTTCCTTCCTTCCTGTGATGCCATGTGGTCCCAGTTGGTGGTTACTGCTGGTTGGCGTGCGTCGCACTTGAAGGTTGGCTTGTGGTGGACCCTCTTTCAAGACCTGCTGTGCAAGGCCATATTCATGCAACAGCTCTTCTACGTGGTTTCCAATGTAAGTCGTTTTACGATTCCAAGGTGGCTCCTGATCTAATCTCTGTAGTCCTTCGACAGTGTTCCGGTCAAGAATGCTCCCCATCTTCGTTCCAGGCTACTCGTAGCTTTTGTTGTAGCATTGGTAATCGTAGCTCCTAAGTCTGTCGAGATGGTTGGTGGGCCTTAGGCCAGCCATTCACATGGTTGCTTGCTTGCTTCGAGCGGATGAATTGCTATATTGAGGTGTTGTCCCCTACGAGTACTTACGGTCTTCGTTGACTTTGTCTTGCCCAATGCTTCGTTCTATAGTACTCTGCTTCATTTGCCTCGAGCCTCTTGTCCAGCACGGCTATCTAGCTTCCGATCCTATCCGTTCCCTGCTGCAGTCGTACCGGTGTGCCTGCTCCTCCCTCCAATGTTCACAAACTCACCTCGAACCTCAAGATCCGCCACGCCTCTTTCTCTCTCGTTCTGTCCTACTCTACCAATCCCTAGCTAGCTAGCTAGCTAGATTCACTCGCTTATTGCTGCCTTCTGATTCCATCTATTTGCTTGCTTGCTTGCTACATGCATGTTCCTACCATTGCAGTTTTAATAAAACTCATTCTGACGACCACATGCAGACTCATCGCCAAGGCATCCGGGCAGTTTCTTTCGGTTTGTCTGTCACGTTGGGCGTTTTCGTTTCGTTCGTCCGTTCAAGGATCAGCCATTTGCATTCGTCGACTAGCTAGCTAGTACAGTACTAGTACATCATGCATCATCTTTATAAAAAGCAATTCATACTACATATACCCGCGGCTGCTCTCTCTCTTCCATGTTGGTTCCAAAACTGATTTTGCACTATACACATTTTTTTCCATTGCTTCACTCACTCACTCACTTGTGGGACGCCGCCTCTTCTTGCCATTTCAAAACGTAAATGACGGTGGGAAAGGCAAAACTGAGCAAGGCTCCCGCCAGCAACAAACAATTGACGGGGAAGAAACTATGATCGACATGGAGCGCACGATCACTCAAAAAGGTTCCCAACAACGAGCACAGCCCGGCAAAGCACCCCGCAAATCCAAACATGGTACTGAGATTCTTGAATCCAAAAATGGTCGCCGAGTAGGTACTCATGACGGTAAAGAATCCGACACGGACAAAGACGTACAACTCGGATGTGACCCACTGCAGCGGGACACTGGGCATGAGTGTCAACGTCGAAAAGAGGAGATTGGCGGCCGTGTAGACAAAGAGACTGGTCGACACGGAACAATTCCGAACTAAAGCACCGACGGGTAGAATGGCCACAATGCAACCAATGGGATACAAGAGAGCAAAGTTGGTCAAGATGGTGGCAGTTTCTTCGAGCAACGTTGGGTCGTCACCGGCCATCATGTAGATTTGGTCCCCGATGGTGCCCAGATAGAAATTTTGCTGCAGCATGCCCCAACAAAAGAAGAGTGTCTGGGCCAAGAATTGGGGAGATTGCAACTGTTGCGCAATGGAGCGATCTTTGAGTGGAACAACGTCTCCAGTATCAGTATCCTGATGAGCCGCGGTTTCCACGTCGGCCGTTTTGGTCGAAGGAGATGGTGAGGACACCAAGGGCGTGGTTTCCGTGACAGTGCTGGATTCGTCGGCATCCTTTCGTGAGACTTTGGCAAAGGCGACAGCGGAATCGGCATCACTTAGTTTGGATGATTTTTCTCGTTGAATATGGTACGGATCGGGAGGCAAGACAAAGAATCCCACGACACCCAGTGCCACGGGCAAAAAGGAAAATCCTTCAAAGAGTTCTTGTGACGACCATCCAAAGTCAAAATGCAAGACATGAAACATGTAAAATACCACGGAAGAGAATCCAAAGCACCCAATAAAGATACTGAGTAGCAAATTGGAGGATTGGGGGTAGATTTTGCCAAAGTTAAAGGCGGCAATGTAGAGGAGTGGATTTCCCGTGCCAATCAAGATGTATGCCATGGTAAAGTATTCGGCCGATGCCTTGGCAAAGATCCAACTTCCCGTCGTGACAAAGGCAAATCCTGCGAGAAAACAAACCCGTGGTCCTAGAAATCGCAGACACAATCCGGCGGGCATGAGATAGGCGGAAAACAAACTGGCGGCCAATGTGAACATTTGATCCAGTTTTTGCAATTGGTCTTCGCAGGGAACAAAGACTTCGGTAGTAGTCCCATTCGTATTAGTATTCTCGTAGCAGAGATCTTCGTAGACACCTTCATCCAAGAACACTTCCTTGAGGGCGGTAAACCCAAATACACTGCCGCCACAGAGAATCAGCGAGACAATCACATAGGCCAAGAGTAAAATCTTGGCAAGGGTGCTGCTGTCTTCGTCTACGTAAGACATCATCTTGCTCTTCTTCTTTCTTTCTTTCTTGCTTGTTTGTTGCTTGTTTCTTTGATTGAGTTGGTTGCTGTGTAGCTAGCTAGCTTGATGCCCGTTTTGGTTTTTGTGCTCAACACGAAATGAGAAGAAAGCGAAAGGAAGTGCCAACGAAAGGAAAAGGAAGATGCTGCCACCTTTGGACGCAGAAGATAGAAGATCCTTGTTTCGTCGTGTTTGACGTTTCAGCAAAAGATCAAAGATCCTCTTGGATCCGACACTGGGGCGCAAGTTCAAGTGGGACTATTATATAGTACTACCTAACGCGAACAGAGACGTTACTGGGACCTTGGGAGACGCGTATTATAATGCTTCAAAAACAACCAGCAGTCACAGAATTAACTCTCTCTCTCTCTGAGTTCGTTATCGTTGCTCGAGCTCCCACTTTCCAACATCAATCCTTTCTGGTGCATTGATGTTATCCATTGAATGCAATCCCAGATCATCATCATTTTTTGCTGGTGAGCCACAGTAGCCACCAACTATTGCAATCGGGTATCAAGGCAAGATGGATAACTACCTAGCTTGGTTCCCTTGGTCTCCTCGTTCTCGTGCGTCTGCTTCCAAGAAATGGGTGTTGCCTGGGGAAGATCAGCCAAAAAGTGATCCTGAAGTTTCAGAACATTCAAACAATGATGATCATCCAAATCGGCAGGTCCAACAGCAAGCGCACAGCTCCTCCACCTCCTCCAAATCTTTACCGGTAGTATCGTGTCTCAAAACGACAAAGAAGAAACAACAACAATCGTCTTCTTCTTCCCGACCTCCTCTCCGTTCATTGGACACCAACACCAACAATGCGTCTCATGCTACCCGTTCTCGCCGCTCGGTGACGTTTCAAGACGCCACCACTTGTTACACCATTCCACCTTGCTATGCCACTAGTAATAACAAGGAGCTCTTTTACTACTCGCCTCGTGAATTGGACGATATGCTCGAAGCGCATTTGGAATGGAAACGTGACTTGGCCAAACTGCAAAAAGAGACGGAGGCGCGAAAACAACGCATGCAAAAGGCAACACGCAAGGCACAACGAAAGGAACGATTACGTGCCAAGAGAGCTTCCAGAATCAATGCATTTGTCAACAATACCACTACTACTACTAATAGTGTTAATGAGGTATCCCGGGACACGAACAATCCAAAAACAAGGCGGGCGGAGACCAAGAACACTGCCGGTAACAGTGTGACACGACCACGACGCGGCTTTTCCAAGGCAAGTCATGGAACGAAGAAGGAGGGCTCGAAGAAAACCCTGATGGAGTCTTCTCGGAGCAAGACACCATCCACAACCAGTACCATCAAGTCCACTCCTCCAAACGACCGAGACGAACAAACTCTACTGAGGGAGCTCTCGGACTGTCTGGAGCATGCGCTCAATGACGAAGTCGAACCAGATCAAGAAATCTGCAAACCAACATGTCGGGACGACAATCAAGTTGGAGAAAAGCCTGTGTCGTCAACTCCAATGCCGACAGCCACAAAGGATGCTTCCGCCAATGTTCCCTCCAAGACGACACCACCACCAGCAGTAGCATCACCCAATTTGCAACAACAATCAGCTTGGAAGAATCCGATGGTGACACCACTATGGAATTCTTCTTCTCGACAGCCAAAGAATTCAACCCCCAACAAAACTCGTCCTCCCGTACTCCTGTCGCCCATTCAAATGTCCATCCTCCCCCATCCCTTCTTCTTTTGCCATCCAGACTACACTGCTGAGGAGCAAGAAAGCAACAACCAAACAGCAGAAGCAGCCGAGAATCAAAACTCTGGCAAAGCTATCTTATGGAGCCTTCCAAGCACGCCTTCCAGAACAACATTCTCCAAAGAGGAGGACCACAGTCAAGTCAAACATCACGGTTGGGACGTTTTTCGGCACGGAGTGCACACCAAAGCGGATATGAAACCAGCCAACTTGTGGACATCATTTTTCAATCCATACGCACCGTGGAGATGAAAAGAAAGCTACCGTACTACTGACCCAAGCAGCACAATGGTACATGCAGGGGCGGAATAGAACAAAGAGTCACCAAGAAACAGACAGCCACGAGGAATCTAGTGAGATGCCGGGAGCTAGTAGGAATAGCCAGCATCGCTCGTAGTGTCAATCTCGGCTTAATTTGGAAGGGTCTATACGCCTGGACTCGAGCCTCCGTCCTTGTCACCCATCTTACTTCCTGAGAAGCAGAATAGCCACCTTTCAAGCAAAAAGGGAGTCTAACTTTATGTTGTTGAATAGAATGTAAACAGGAATGATAGTCAAAGATAACTCAAGTCGATGTAGAATCTGTGATTTCCAAAGATCCATCAGTTCCAACTAAAACATCAATGGTGATTTTCGAAAAGGCCTCCCTAGCTTCCAAAGCATACAACACTGTTTGGTTGGTGGCTGTCACAGTGATCCAGGCTATGCCGCCACCACCACTGTCAAATACAATCAATCTGTAGGCTGTGGCACTGTTCACTTCGAAGAGAGAGGAGTACAGATAACCGGGGGATGCAACTGGACGACCCAATTCCAGTCTGTCCCAAACACCAGTCACATTGCTTTCCTTCTGCCAAATCCATGATGTGCCCACTGGATAATCATCTGTTTGCATATTGAGCATGACATCAGCACCTGTGGTTGGAAACCGCCCAGGCGAATCAGGTGGAGCTGCTTTGAGGTCAGCACAGGTGGAGACAGGGGGAGTTGCATTGAGGGAGCAATCACGCCATAGAAAACCATAGAAAAGAACAAAGATGCTACAGTTCCTGAGAACTGATTCCCATGTAGCCTCAATGCCATGGAGGCATTCAGTTGGTTTGGAAGTGTGCTTGTCAGGTCATTATTCTGAAGAGCCAAGGATGTTAGTGACTTCATCATGCCAATTTCAGTGGTGATTGTGCCAGTGAACTGATTGTCATAAAGGTGTAGCTCCAACATCGATGTCAGAAGCCAAACTTCCATGGGAACCGGGCCAATGAACTGGTTGCCGTTCAACCACAGCTTAGTCAAAGCAATAAAGGCGCCAAACTCAGAAGGTACCCTGCAACTGACCCACTGGGAAGATGCAGAGCTGGCTGGTTTTTTGTATTCACTGGGGATCTACATCCCACGAGAAGACGTGAAGAAATGGTATAGCTGGCCGACGAAAGAAGTTCCCTACTATTAGGGACGTGTGTACGTTGACAAAAAGCCCTTCCAATCGTCAAACAAGGCAGGTAAAGAACGAAGAGGCGACCTCCTCTATTTTCTCTTTGCTACCAGGTACTACATGTTTGGCTGAAGAGCGCACACCCAAGCCGTATCCTTCTTCTTGGAAGAGTTCCGCAGTATCCCAAGGAAAGACAAGTTTCAGCAGCCCTTTCAACCTTCTAGAAAACCACCGCAATCAAGAACCGGGAGAGAAGATTTCGTCTTTCTCCTCTATCACCAGGTTCGGCGGCTTCCAACACTACTAGTACCATACCTTTCCGCTTTCCGGTACACACCAGTAGCGCCTGTGCCTGAAGAAACACTCGATCCATGCAACCTGCAACCTCCACACCCAATAATAACCTTGCAACCACGCCTCTCAAAATGTGAGATGCAAGATTGGCACAAGAGCAGCAAGGGAGCACAGAGGAACATGAAGGGTTTCCGAAAGCGACGCAGTAATTCACCTAATCTCAGATGCCAAGAGCTGTTGGACTTAGCGCCAAGGATTCCATGACCAAGGTGGCTTTTGGATGCCTATCTATAAGCGGCTCGGACGCTCAATAGAAGGCTGAACGTTTCATGATCCAGTTGATGACAGATCTAAGTAAGGTAATTAGAGATCCAAGAAAGCCCATGACTCATCCTAATTGCAGTCTTTCATGCACTAAATCCTGTCTATAAGCCCCGCTCCTGATGACGATGCGGTGCCAGTTCGGTACCAGTACCGCGAGAATTCGCCAAGATAAAAACAAACAAAAAACACCACCACAAAATTCCCAAAACGACTTTTGCAACGGATAGAGCTCTCTCCAAGCGGAACAGTCGACGGTCACTCATTCATTCGTAGCCCTCTATCATCCCATCTGACTAAGAAAGCACACAATGGCTCTTGCTGCTTCTGCCACCACTTTCAGGATGATGATGTGCCCGGATTCTCCTGATTCTACCCGTGCTGTGCGAGGCGCGGACAATGCCATTGACTCATACATGCATACCGCTCGCCGTCGACAACAGGGAGAGGATCGGTTCTATCGCCCACGTCCCGAGTCGGATCGATTCGATGTCCGACGACAACGAGGGGATGATCTGGATAATGGTGAGTTGAGTTGAGTTGAGTTGGTGTGCATGTATCTATCTTGCCTTGTTCTTTCGTGGAGTATTCTCACCTCATTCGTCTTCTCCAGAACACCACCACTCCCCACGCGGCACCAATTCTTCTGCTGGAAAACGTACCTACAACAACAACCACAACAAGCACAAGGGCGTCGATAAGCTGAACCGTCGGCCCAGTCCCTCCTGTGTGGCGCAAGCCTTTCGAACGCATCAACGAGTCACCCGCAAACTGTCAGCAGCCGAACCGGCCGTGATTTCTCGTCCCGAACCTCGGCAAGACACGAAATTGTCGACTACTGGAGCCACCAAGTCACAACATCGACCTGTCACTACTAGCAGGAGTAGAGACAACTCATTCACCAAGAACAACCGCAACACTACTACTACGTTTATTGAAATTGAACCAGGTGTTCAAGCCGAATTGCGCAAGACAGAAGAAACACTGCAAGCTGTCTCCAACAACCAATTCCTCGCGGCATCCTGCTTGAGTTGCCATCTTGACTTGTACTGCATGGCGGATGCCAAATACATGATTTGCCCCGTTTGTCGCGTCATGAGTCCTGTACTGTCCAATAATAGCGGCAGTGGTCATGGGGTGGCATTGGGATTTACACCTGCTACATTGCAAGAAATGAAACAGCAATAGCGATGTGACGCGAGACAACCATTGTGCAGTTCTGGCCAGGATTGGTTGTTAGACGGATCCAATCCTTATCGGTACCTACTTTTTTGACATTCTTCATACACGCCTATAGTCTACTAGTTATATTTAGGACCTGATTCCAAAGTTGGCCGCCTCTTTTGTCTCCAACTAGTTTTCGTATCTTCTAGCTTGCCAGCTAGTAGTCAAGTGGAAGTGTAGTACAGAGGAGGAGAGTTAAAAGGGGGTACTAGACAAACCAGACAGCGCCCTCGTAACTGGAGATTGAAGGCGGAGGCATCTTTGCTGGCATCTTTGCTGGCATCTTGCTGCTTACCAAAGCAGATGGACGGTACGGTGCGTGGCAGGCTCAAAATCTCAGCCAACTTCTTGTTGAGATGGCTGATTGCCACCTGGCAAATATTAGAGATAGAGAGTCAGCGAGGTGCAGCGAGCCTCATAACTTTTAACAATGCACAAGGCAGATTGCACAAGAACATGAAGGCTGCTGTGGCTTTACTTCTATCCCAGGCCCTGCCGATTATTTGTTGCGGCTTTGTTCCCATCATGACGCCCCAAACACACGCAACAACACAACCGAGAGCAAGCGGGCGAAACCCACTTCCACGACATGATCCACGTTTGGCACTACCACTGCAACCACAGCCAAAACACTCACACAAACCGACGAAACCCGAAATGAAAGAAGAAATCCGACCAATGCAGACAATCACCGACCGCTTGGTCGTCGAGGCCGTCCTGGGCCTGCCACAAATGAAAGATAAAACTCTGCTCCATCTCGCGGTTGTGGGAAGCCGCAGCAAGGCCATTGCCAGCAAAGACTCGGATTATGACGTCAAGGCAGTTGTGTTGCACTCTGTGGCTGATTACTTGCTGCAGAACATTACACCCAGCAAAGCCTTTGAGACTTCCATTGTCGACCCCGAAACGGGCGAGGTCGTGGAGGTTGAAGGCACCCTTGTGGACTATTTGACGATGCAAAAGTACGCCTTGTCGACAAACACGGCTGCTTGTGAGGCCTTCTACGGCCTCGTCATCCACCAAACGCCAGAAAGCGAGTATTTGAAAGAGCTATTCTTGAAGGCATACGATCCCAGAGTGCTTGTTTTGAGTTACCAAGGACTCTTGAAACACGAACTAAAAAAGGCAAGGAAACAAGGACGAAGTGGGCAGATCAAGCATGCCGCCAACATGGTCTTTTACGCGTCCATGGTGCATCTGGCTAGTTCCAGCCAAGAACCACCAATACAAAACGCCTTCCAGCATGTCCAAAGCTTACAGATTGACCCCGCCCTTCGGGAAAACATGCTTGTACTCTACAGGCAACGGATGGCCGATAAATCAAGGACTGATGCCGACACGGCCCCTTTTGCCGCGTTTCTTCAGAATGCGGAGGAGTTGGAGGCACCCCCGTGCATAAAGAGCAAAGATGAGATCGAGTCCCTGAGGGCCGAAGCCAACGCCCGGTTTGTTGAGACCATCGCCAGCGACAGGATGGAAGTCCCGGTGTTGAGGTAGCAACCAAGCACAGCTACCGGTTCAACCAGGACGTGGGTTGGCCCTCAACCTCCATTCTTCTAAAACCCGCCATGAAAACCTTACTGGATTGATTCATCGTTCTCTTATTTTACTCTGGCTAAGCTTGCGCTCCGCAGCGAGAAGTTTGAAAGGCCCCTTTTGGCTTGCTACATGTCGAAGGCAAATTGCTTCTTGTGTTATTGGGCGTGCGATGCTTGTGTGTGCCACTTCCCGGAGTCATTCCGTATCGGAACACTAATACATTTACGGAAGATTCATTCGAAACCACGGTCATTGGTGCGCAGGAGTAAAATTTACTTAAGCCGTCACTCTTTGCTAAGTCTTCGGAGCACTCATCATTCGGAACTCGGAACACAAATAGTTTTACGGAACATTCATTCCATTCCCAGTTAGTTGAGAAGGCAATACTAGCCTTTTTGTTCTTAACGTGGTTGAAGCTTCAGAAACGCTGAAGAATGGTGAATCGAATCCGATTTTCAGTGCGTGTTCCGGGATTTGACTCTCTCCTGACGTGCGGCTGACTTCCTCTCAGCGTGACATACTACCATTCTCTTGATGGTACGTACCGTACGGTGCTCCAGTATGGTACATGTAGTACGGTACGCATTAACGCAAATCGCTTGGTCTCCCATTCTGATGTCATTCAGACTCTTCCAGACAACCGTCACCGTGTCAGACGGCTTCTTTTGCGGAAGTGAACGCCAAAACTTCAGCAGTGGCAAGCTTATTACCAATCACTGCCGGCATGCGGGCGCTGTGAAGGTGCAACGTCAGGGGATGTCAGAGCGAGAAAACAATGCGTTTACGGAAACGAAAGAACCAGTGAAATTGAAAACGCTTACGTCTGGGTTTTCACAGAATCCCGATCTTCTAGGAAGGAGCGAGAAACAAGGTCTGAACGGAAGCTACAGACGGGTGTTTGAGGTAAATAGAGGGCTCTATAGGAGCAATACATTACGCATAATATTTTGAATCCAATAATTTGGTTTACCGCATCTACTGGAGATTCAAAGCTTTCTTCCTTGATGCACTGCAACGAGTAAGCTGTCTCCTGATAGGTTGATACCAATGCTACTGCCCAAGCACGGTATCCTTGAACAGGAGAAGAAAGGGAGGCTGCCAGTTGCAAATGAGTTCAACAGGACTTTACTTTGATGGGAAATCCAGCCCCAGAGAGTAGTTACAAACTTTTTGCAAAGTAAAGGCTTTACCTCTGAAGTCGAGAACTATCCGCATTTGCACCAACACCGTGACAATGATGAACTCTTATGAAGCACAGCAGCCCCTCCTGCACACTCATGATGCAGCGGCAGGGGTTCCCCAGAAAGAGACAGATATTCTGGCCATTTTGGCCGATGTTGCTTTGCCAGCGATGGCAGGACGTGAACAGCAAGCAAAGACTGCTGCTGGGTCACTGCAACCTTATCCTTTCTTTCACTATAAAGATCACTCCAGGGATGTGGATCCTGATCCGTTGTATACTCTCGTTCCTCCAGGTCGTGTTCCTAACTTCCCGGCGAAAATCCATGCCATTCTCAGCCGCCCTGATCTGCAAGATGTCATTACTTGGCTGCCTCATGGAAGGTCCTGGCAAGTTCTCAAGCCTCGAGAGTTTGAAACCAAGGTTCTGCCCCAGTACTTTGATCACTCTCGTTACTCCTCCTTTGTCCGTCAGACCAATGGTAAGATACCTTTCATTTGCTTGCATCCTGGCTTCTCGTAAAAAGTGTACGATGTGCTCACCAAATTGGTTTTCGTTCGTTGCAGGCTGGGGATTTCGACGCATCACGCAAGGCAAAGGACAAAACTCGTACTATCATCCTCTCTTCCTACGGGGCCTTGCACATCTGAGCAAGGGCATGAAGCGCCAGTGTGGCAAGGGCCAAAAGAAGAAGGTTCCTCTGGATGCAGACCAGGAGCCAGACCTCTTCAAGATATCAGAGCTCTTTCCCGTGCCGGAAAAAGCGGATCATGAGTCCATTATGCTTTCACGTGCGATGCAAGGCAACCCCAGCGCAAGAATGCCTTTCTATGGTGGCAGTCATGCCCTGCAACAGCCGGCTGCAGTCGTCTTTAGTCAACCGCAGGTAACCCTCAGTCGTTCCCCCGAACCTTTGAGCCCTCCTGCAACGCCACCACAACAAGGAGTTCCACCTGCACCCTTGACATCATTCACGGGTGCGGCCTCCCCGCCAACGACGAGTATCGCTGTAGCTGTACCACCCCACCATGCTAACAGTCCTGTTGCTACAGCCATCCACTTTACCAACGAGCCCCACAAGACCAATGAACACGTTCAAAAGCCAGCCGTGGTGAAGGCTGCCGATGCTACTCCACAGCCAATGACAGTAATGATGCCCTTCCCTTTCATGAACTCCGGCATGCCCATGTTCTTCCCTCAAATGATGTATCCTCCTACCATGATGGTTCCAGGGCAACAAACATCGTCTGGCTCCTCTGCCACCCCTGATGCTTCCGGCTCTTCTCATTTTGCCGCTGGATTTGCTGCAGCGGCTGCGATGAGCCAACAGCACTTTACTAGAATGTTCCAACAGAACACCATGGCAGCCGCAAACAATGCCTAGGCAGCTCTAGAGAGTTAGATAAAGAAGCCAATGCCTTTTCTGGCTGGGCAACCAAGAAGCACACTAATCATAATGAAACATCTAAGTAATGCATGTATAATACATCTAAAGCTGCTGCACCTATTACTACACAGCTACAGACTTTGCCATCACAGCTACAGACTTTGCCATTAGATCTAGTAGACAACCGAAACAACTACGAAGATATCAATTACCCAAGGGCCCAGGGCCAGTGGCTACGCCGGAGCGGGCAGCAGGGTGCCTATGCACAACATGTAGCAGCCCTGCATGCCCGATCCGCCATGATGCGAAGAGATCATGGTGGTCAAAAACACAAACATCATCATGTTGAGGTTGATGATGCAAGCACGACTTCAGAAGCTTATTTGCATCCAGCGAACACTTTTCGTGCTGACAGCAGCTCCATCATTCCACCTTCCTCTTCATCCATTGATAAGGGCAGAGGGAAGAGGCTGGGTAGTATCAGGGTAGTCAAACATCGTCATACTGAGGTTGATGATGCGAACATGAGTTCAGAAAGCTGATTTGAAAAAAGCGAACATTCCTTGCTGACGTTTACCAAAAGGAATGGTGCCAACTCGTTCCTATTAAACCAGACTTTGCACCTACACGTGTCGCTGCTTCTTAAAATTACGGGAAGCCCTTGATACGTCACCTGTTTTGATCCATCGAGATCTCTATCATAGAAACCCTTTAAATCACATTTGAAGGAACGCCGAAAGACAATAATCGACAGAAGTTGGATCAAAATGTACAATTGGTCACGAACGATTTTAAGTGATCAACTAACTGAAGGTTTTGCAAGTGAGCCAGTACCGTACGGTACGGTACGTACCTGCACCGTAGTTAGCCAGCGGTACCGATAGCGTTGACTGTAGTCGAGTCGAGTCTGGCTCTGCTAGCTATCAGTGCGGGTATCTACTTTTTTCTTTAGAATGAACAACTACATGTATTAATTAGAATGGAGCCAGCTACAGATGATGGGATCATTTGCTGATGGTTCGAAAAGCATACTCTGATGAGTAGGTGTTGCAACGGGTACTGATTGATCATTCAATCGGATCTTGATGGTCGGCTACATCCTGTTTACACGGTGCGTACGGTACGATACCTCTGGCTGGCTGGCTGCTATCAGCAAAAGGGAAATGCCAAGCTCCCCACAGGTACCGGTAGATGTGCGCTTTATTTGTACCGGTATCTACATGTAGTAATAAAAGTTCCTCTAAATTTCCGTTTTGTTTTGTGCCACAGAGAAAGCCTGTGTCTGTCTGTCACTTGATTAAAAAGGGGCATTTTAATAAAGTCTTTGTCCACATGACTTTCAAAACCAACTAGCTAGCTAGCTAGCTAGCTACTGTACCGTAGCTAGCTACAATAAATGGCACCATCAGGATTGAATGATCAATCTGCAATCTGGAATTGGCTGGGTACAGTCGTACGGTATCCCGCCCTTGCTTGGTCAAGGCATCCTCAAGGTGAATTCCATCAAGCCCAGGAACAAGTGTTGAAAAACAATGGATAGTCATAGATACATCATGGAGGTCGGCACGTTGCGGTTTGACAAAGACCAAAAGCTTGCACTTGTGTTGAAAGAGCAGTTGAAGGGGTAGAAAGCACCTCTTGTGTTGGTGGTTGGCAATGGCCCTGCAAAGTGCGATGAAGGCACAAGGGCAGTTTTTGTGCGCCACGTAAGGGCGATAGGTGCAATACGCTTCCTTCAAAGATTTAAAGCATTCACACATGCAATAACAACAATCATGCGTTGTTAAACCAAGTAAGGCGCTTGGGGGCACAACCACGAACACGTCACCTCCTTTTCAGACCCTTCTGCTTCAACTCCGCCAGCAAAACATCAGTATCATAATTTCCCAGCACAGCAAAAAACACACTTCATCTTGCATCCACCACAACACACACAAACCCATCCTTTATTGTTATCAGCAAGTACCAAGACGTACCATGAGCTCCCGTTCTCTTTATGTTGTCTTGGAACATCGCAGCGATGCCGAGTTCTGTGATTATCTCCAGTCTCTCCAGAGGCAGCAGCGACCGCGTACCATGAACGTCTTTTCGGACTTTCAGTGGATCCAAACGGGCCAGATTATTCGTGGCGATCAGAGACGAGCGCTCTTTTGCGCATTGGGCAAGATGGCGTCGCAACTCAAGCATCTTCAGATTGACCTCTTGTGTGACTTGTACATTCCCGATGAAGAAGTGGACGCACTCGAGTTCAACTTGATTCATACTGATGAAAATGAAAATGAGAACACTGCCACCGTGCAAGACAGCAACAGCGATGACGATGATGAAGGCGCCGTGCTGATTCAGAAACTGCAGGTACTGCCTTGTTCCATCCTGACCCGTCTCCTGCAACAAGCACCTCTGTTGGAATCTCTGAGCTTGAAAGAACTCTGGCTTTCGGGATCCACCCAAGAATTGGACGATCTGGTACACTGTCTGACCACCCATCCCACGCTGCACAAGGTAGATTTAAGGTGGAAACTGACGGGAGGACGACGTCATCATCATGCCCGGATCCTCGATCCCCTCATTGCCGGAATTTGTCGCATGCCCCAATTGACCCATGTCAATCTCATGATCCCACACTGGTCCAACGAATTGGCGCTCTTGGCGAATACTAGTAGCAGTCTCATCACTACGGTCCAATTGACGGTCGAATCCATGGAATGCCATCCCGATGGCTTGGCCCAATTGCTACGAGATTGGAAACAACAACCTCCCACAAGCCTGCGTCGATTGGAATTGTCCGCCTTTTCCATCTTGCATCATGCCGGAACCGCACTGCTGGATCTTTTGCACCACAACGCCCACTTGGAACACTTGGCCGTTGTCGATCACAACATTTTTGGCACATCATCACAACAACAATCATCACTACAATCTACGAACGAGGACCCACCGTCGTTTGCCCACAAGTTGGTGGCGGCACTGGAGACCAACACGGCGTTGAAGCATTTGCAAATGATTAGTCGGGCGTCTTGTCGTCGTGGTCGCAATACCAAAAAATCCGCGGGGCGACCACTGTTTGCCCGTTTGTTGGAACAATCCAATTTGACCTTGCAACATGTCGATATTGCGCATCATGAAGGACTCTACTTTTCCGCTCCCGTACTCTCCTGCGCAGGAGGACAACGACGAGAAGATGCCTTGGACTTTTATCTGCGGCTCAATCAAGAGGGATATCGACGACGACTCTTGAAGAATACCAATCATCCTACGACTGACCACAATAATCACCACAACAACAATAACGACAACGAATGGTACCGAGCCGTGAAATATTACCAACAGGACACGGCCAGTCTGTTTGCCTTGTTGCAGGCGTGTCCATCGGTCCTGTCATCCTTGACCCCCGAGACAGCTACCGCCTCTACTAGGGAACTGTAAAAACCACCTAGCTAGATGGCTAGCAAAATGTAAAAACCAATAGTATAGTCTGCACATATTATCTTTCTCTTGGGCTCTCTCATTGTTGGATCTTTTAGGTTAGACTGGCTTAGCCAAGCCATTTTGGGTTCTAGTCGACGACGAGGCTTTGACTCGACTCCTACGGCTACATGCATCGTCTCACCGTCTGCAGACGGTCTTGGGAGAGCTGAAAGGCCTGTGCGTCCATCGCACTGGCTTTCAAGCCGAGGATATGGGTTGCAGTCAAGACTTTCTTCTTTTAGATAGCTTCCTCCCGCGGCTGTATGCATCGTCTTACGTCGTTTCGTCTGCAGACGGCCCTGTGCGTCCATGTAATGGCAGCTGGACTGTTCTCAAGAACCGCTGTGGATAGACCTATTCGCACCCGCTTGAAGGGACCGTCGGATTCAAGCTGTTGGTTGCTCCGTGAACCACAATCGAGGTTCTTGTCTCGCAACAAATAACGCATCTAAACATGTACTTATGTAGCTTTACACTGTTCTAACTAAACACTAAAAGCTGTCGCCAGTAAACAACAATACCCAATCTCGGAGCGCGGTCCCCATACGTCGTCGTCGATGGATTCAATTCTCATGTCATCATTCCCCATGTAACACAATGCTCCACGCCCGAAATGCTTGTTTGTACGTAGGTGTTCCTTCTTCAAAACGCTCTAGTACGCCCGCAATCACTCGCAAGGCGCCACCCTTCTTGAAGTTATCCCGGGCACGAGGATACGTGCACGAAAACCGCACAATTCGACAACCGTCCTCTTGAATGGCAGCGTCGTCGGGAAAGTCGGTCATGTGCTTGGCAAGTTGAGGGAACATGTTCAAATCGAAAAACAGACCAACAATGCCCTTGGAGCTCATTAGATTGTTCAAAGCCCGAAAGCCCCTCTTGACAAGACGCGCGTCTTCCGGAAAAGCGTCCATGGCAGAGATGATACTCTCCAGCGCGCCCACCGATGCCAGGCAGATGCAAATGTTCCCAATGCCACCCACAGCCGCAAATGAAAGCTTCTTGTTCAGGAGCGAGAAAGCCGCAATCACTCGACAACCTTCTTCCTGAACCAGCGACGATCCAACATGTCGTTTCATAGCATTGATCACAATCAAATGACCGCCAGCACGAAACAAGCTAGAACGATATCCGTCGCCTTCGCGTTCCCTATGGAGAATCTCCGTCAGCTGAGACATGCCCTTGTGTACTCCAGAAGCATCATCTCCAGCGATCGCCTGCATCAGCTCGATGAGTTCCTTGTTGTACAATGGATCCACAAGAGACGGCAAATGCTCCATGGCAAGTGCCGCCAAGAAATCTTTGGAAGTGCCGTTCTTAACAACTGTGCTCGTGTTAGCTGCCTTGGTCAATCGAGTAATTTCACTTTGAAGGTTGTTGACTTCTGTTCGGAGCTTGTCTAACTTCTTCGTGGCTGACATCTGCGGCGACATTGCTATAGTCAGCTCCCTCCGCAGCTTCAAGATCAGTCTTCAATTGGCGGATGTCAGACTTCAACGCGTCAATGGCGCCGAAGCGTTTTCCCAGATGGTTGTCGATTTCGCGTGTTTCTTCTTCCTTTAGCACCAGGTCCTCCTTGAGCTGATTCAATTCTGCTCGCAACATGTCTCGCACTCCAAAGTCATTGTGGTCCCCCAGTTCCACTTCCTTGGCTGCAATTTGCTCCTTCAGATGATCCATCTCACCCTTGAGCTCTTCGAGTGCCTCCTTCATTGCTGTTTCGATTTCGTCAACTAGTACGAGAAGTTGCTGGTCCTTTTCGTCGATTTGCCGTCCAAGCTCCTTGCTTCGAGCCACGACGTTTTGGCTATTTTGTTGCTGCTCTTTTCTTTCGCTTAGCTCTCTTGCCTGTTCGAGTACTTTCTTTTTCTTTCTTTCCATCAACATTCCTTGTCAGTCTCCATTCTTCTCGCTCCCAGTGTCATCAGTGTCGTTCCTCGGAGTCGCGACTGAACTGAGCCGTGTCAACGGAACAAACTTGTGTTTTCTTCCTTGAGCATCTCATTCTTTACTTTGAGACGGTCATTCTGCTGTCGCTGCATATTGGACTTCTCGTTGAGTTGGTTGATAAGGGCTTGTAGACCATCAAGTTTCTGTTGCGTTTCCTCCAACACCTGCGATTTTTCGTCGATGGCGCAAATTAGAAAGAAGATATTCACAAGAAAGAAAACCTCTACTTAACCTAATACTCTTATATAAAAGTGCGTAGCATTTTCTTGCACTGCTCTCCTGTGCTCACCGGCAATTTTTTCCGTGACTTCTATTTGTCGGCCCATCTCCTCCACGTTGGCTGTGAGGCTCTTGTTCAATTCATCCTTGGCCTTGACTTCCTCTTTGAGGCGTGACACAACCTCTTCTAGCCTTTTGTTGTCAGCAATCTGTTCCTGCAACTGGGTCTCCAAGAGAACGTTGGAGACCCCTGACTCAAGCTCAGCAGTAAGCTTCACGTTCTGTTCTTTGGTTGCCTCCAGTTCAGCCTGCAAAGTATCCAGAGAATCTTGACTCTCCTTGCACACATCTTCGAGATCAGTAATGAGCTTTGCATGGGCGTCTTTCAATGACTCCATCTCTGTCTGATTGGTCTGCAGCTTTTGTTCCAGGTCAAATTTCTCATTCACCGACATTTCACGTTCAGCAGCTGCCTTAGCCTTTTCAGATTCAAGTGCGGACTGCAGAGTCTCCAGGGCTCCATGGTTCTCCTTGTCTCCATTTTCTAGATCAGCCAAGAGCTTGGCATTGACCTTCTGTAATGACTCTAACTGTGCCCGAGTTGTGGCAAGTTCTGCTCCCTTCTTGGTTGCACTTGCCAAGACTGCAGCATACTCAGCCTTGAGCCCATCCACGTCAGCCTGGGGCTTCTGTGCCGCTTCTTCATTGACCAAATTCTCAAGCTTAGAAACAAGGCTGGCATTTTCCACCCTCAGTGATTCAAGAGCAGTCTGCAGTGTGTCAAGGTCCTCATCCTTTTTGGCAGAACTGGCAAAAACATCAGCATACTTGGTTTTGAGCGCATATAACTCAGATTGAGGATTGTTCTGCCCAGTTTCCGCAGAAGGAATTCCCCTATCAGAAACAACAGTGTCATTGCCTGCCTTGGCCAACTCAAGAGCCTTTTGCATAGAATCGAGGACGTCCTGGCTCTCCTTGTCTGCTGCTTCCAAATCAGCCAAAAGTTTGGCATTCACCTTTTCCAGAGATTCCATGTCTCTCTTGGCAGCCTCAACCACTCTGTCTTTTTGCAAGGAATGGGCCAAGACGGTTGCATACTCAGCCTTGAGCCCAGCTATTTCAGCATTCAGGTCACTTCGCTTTTTCTTCTTGGAACGTTCCTCACCACCAGAAGCAAGGTTTTCATACTCTGTTTTGACAGACTCAAGGGCTTTTTGCAAAGTCTCAAGGGCTAGTTGGCTCTCCTTGTCTGCTGCTTCCAGATCAGAAAGGAGCTTGGCATTCACCTTTTGCAATGAATCCATTTCTGTTCGAACAATTTGCAGGTCTTCATCCTTCTTGGCAGAACTGGCAAAAACATCAGCATACTTGGTTTTGAGCGCATATAACTCTGATTGAGGATTGTTCTGCTTAGTCTCTGCAGAAGGAATTCCCCTCTCAGAAACAACAGTGTCATTGCCCGCCTTGGCAGACTCAAGGGCTTTCTGCATAGTCTCAAGCGCTTCCTGGCTCTCCTTGTCGGCTGCTTCCAAATCAGCCAAAAGCTTGGCATTCACCTTCTCCAGAGATTCCATGTGTCTCTGGGCAGCCTCAACCAC